ACGTTGTTGCAATGTGAATGCGTTATTTTGCTCAATTTTTAATAAGCTATCCAAATTCTTAATTGACATTTTATAATTCTTAAGCTTACAATAATTTATTCCACGAAATATTAATGCAAATGCATCATATTCAATTGTTAGTGATTTATTTAAATCTGCAAGTGATTTTTCGTATTTATTTTGATATTGTTTATAAGGCCGTGAATAATTATTGATTTGATAAGAATCATTTAAATCTTCAATTAAATCTTTATCTGTCATAAGATAAGTCGCAGCACGATGTTTTAATGCAAAGGCATCATCTGGCTCTATTATAAGTGATTTATTCAAGTCTACAAGTGACTCATTATAGTTTTTTAAATTTCTATAAACAGCACCACGATTTTTTAAAGTAAATGCATCATTTGGTTCTATTTCAAGAGATTTATTCAAGTCTATAAGTGATTCATCATATTTTTTCATTACTCTGTAAACTGCACCACGAATTCCTAATGCAATAGCATTATTTGAATCAATTTCTAATGATTTATTTAAATCCTTAAGTGACTTCTCAAAATCTCCTATCATATAATAAATCTTTCCACGAATTCCCCAAGAATTAGCGTTATCCGGATCAATATTTAATGATTCATTTAAATCCACGAGTGATTTTTTGTATAATTTCATATAATAGTAAGTCAGACCACGTTGTTGCAATGTAAATGCGTCATTCTCAATTTCGAGCGAACTATTTAAATCATTAAGTGACATTTTATACGCCTTAGTCTTACAATAATTTATTCCACGATATCTTAATGCAAATGCATCATTTGGCTCAATTTGTAGCGATCGGTTTAAATCATTAAGTGATTTTTCATATTTATTACATTTAGTGCGAGCCCAGTCATTTCGAATGCCATAAGGATTATTGCAAGACGATAAATCATATCTATAAGAATTCTTTGAATCTTCAATTGGATCATAAGAATTATTTGAATATTCGAACGAATCATAAAAATTATTTGAACTTAAATCGTAACCTTCAAATGATTCATCTTCAAGTGAATCATAAAAACAATTTAAATCTTCGAATGAATCATTAAAATAATTTGAATCTTCTAATGAATCATTAAAGTTATTTGAATTTTTGAATGATTTATAAACATTATTTGAATTTTTGAATAATTTATAAATATTATCTGAATTTTCGAGTGAATCATAAGAATTATTTGAATCTTCAAATAAATCTTTGTTTATCATAATATAAGTTGCACCACGATGTTTTAATGTAAATGCATCTTCTGGTTCTAATTCAAGTGATTTATTTAAATCTGCAAGCGAATTATCATATTCTTTTATCCTTACATAAATTGCACCACGATTTCCTAACGCAATTGCGTTGGTTGGTTCAATCATTAGTGATTTATTTGAATCTTCTACCGATTTTTCAAAATTTCCTAACATAAAATAAGTCCTTCCACGAATTCCTAAAGAATAGGCGTCATTTGGATCGATTTCTAGTGATTTATCTAAGTCCTCAAGTGATTTGTCATAGAATTTCATATAATAGTAAGTTATACCACGTTGTTGTAATGTGAATGCGTCGTTCGGTTCAATTTCTAGTGAACTATTCAAATCATAAATTGATGTTCCATATTTCTTCATCTTACGGAAAATTATTCCGCGATATCTTAATGCAAACGCATCATTTGGTTCAATGTTTAGTGATTTGTTTAAATCTACAAGCGAATTTTGATCCATATATGGATACGAATTTATATTTAACATAAGGTTAGTTGCACCACGATATTTTAATGCAAATACATCATCTGGTTCTATTTCAAGATATTTTTTCAAGTCTTCAAGTGATTCTTTATATTTTTCATTAGAAAATAAACTGCAGCTCGATTTTTTAACGCGAAGTTATCATCAGAATCTATTTTGAGCAATTTATTTAAGTCTTTAAGTGATATATGATATTTTTTCATTATACTACAAATTGCACCCCTGTTTTTTAATGAAAATGCATTGTTCGGCTCTATTTTGAGAATTTTATTTAGGTTCGCGAGCGATTCATCATATTTATTCATTTTGCAAAAAATTTCATCTCGTTTCTTCAATGCAAGTGAATAATTTGGTTCAATATTTGAAGCTTTATTTAAATATTCAAATGATTCCTCATATCTATTATTCTCATAATATATAATTCCGCAAAGCTTTAATGCCCATGCATTGTTTGGTTCAATTTCCAGCGATTTACTTAAATCATCTAATGATTCTTTATATTTTTCCATGGAATAATATACTTCTCCACGTAGTCTTAATGCATAAGCATCGTTTGGTTCAATTTCTAAAGATCTTCTCAAATCTTCAAGCGATTTTGGGTATTCTTTAATTTTTAAATAAGTTGCACTACGTTGCTTTAATGCCCATATATCATCTGAATTTGTTTCTAATAATTTATTATAAATTTCAAGCAATTCATTAGATTTCCACATTTTATGATCAAATCCTCTGACTCTTGAAGCAATTCTACTCGCGGCAGTAATCTTAAGTCTAGGGTAGTTTCTTAAAAGTAACTCTTTTCTCTCTATTGAAACGCATAAATAATTATTTGAATGTAAAACAAAATCAACAATCCGATTACTTTTGTAAAAAATAGATTCTAAGATCGGATCCAATTGTTTGATTGTGAAATCTTCTATACAATCAAAGGACAATTGAATTGAATATTTAGGGCTCTTGAGTGGACTATTTGCAAAAAGAGAAAGAGCACTATGTAGATTTATTTGTCTATCCAAATAAATTTCAAGCTTCCTTAATGGATTATTAGCTCGATGAATTTCAACAAGTTGCTCCAATGAATAAAGTGGAATTTTTAAATATTCAAGGTTTATCACGTTGTATGTAATAATTTCAACAAGTTGAGTAATATTGTGATTAAATTTAAGAATCTCAACCCAATTAATAAGACAGATATTAAAATTTGCAGACCAATCAAGTTTAATTCTTTTAAACGTATTGCAACTTTTCATAATGAGATCAGATAATAATTTAATAGGGGGCATGTTTTCAATAACGTTAAAAGCAGCATAAGAATATTCTAAAGATGTTAAGTTCGAAAAGGCAGTGGCAAGAAGAAAAAGTGAATATGAATTTAGCCCGTCACAGTGTTTAAACTTCAACTTATCTATCTTTGTACACTGAGCCAGTACATTGATAGCTTTACTATTTAATTGACAAACAGTATTATAAAAAAATGATATTGCTTTAAATGTTACACTTTTAAGTGAATGTTTCTGATACAAGAGAGCTTTAACAGGAAATGATGCAAAATTACTGCTAATCAGAGAGAACTTTTTTAAATGCTTTTGAGAACGGATAAGAACCGCTAAAGCTATTCCTTCATTTTCAGAACAAATACTAGTTTTAAGGTTTTCAATATTATGGCAGTTCTCCGCTATGGCATTAAAAAGTTGTATTTTTGGTTCTATCCATTTATAGTTGCAGTTGAAATAGGTCAATTTATTAAATATTGAAGTGCAATCAGAAAAATGAGTAAGAATTAATGACTTTAGCTCATCATTATAATATTTAAGGCTATAGATATCAAGTCTGCGTAATCTTACTTCATGCATAATAAATAAATTGAATAATTCAATTATAATATCTTTACTGCATTTGCTTGCTATAGCTGCAGTAACGAATCGATCATATGAAAGCTCTTTTAGAAATGACGGATAGTTAAACAAAAGAGGTTTTGTAATCGACAGCCGAATTCTTCTATTATATCCTAATCTGAGAAAAGTACTATTATGTATAAATGCAAGATAGATTTTTCTCACTTTGGAAAATGGAATACACTTGTCTTTAGTCTTGAAGGGTGCTTCCCATAAAATTGGAACGGCGCATGTAGCCCAATGTTTATTAACCAAAAGACAAGAATGCAAATCTTTATTAGTTGGAAGAAATCTAAAAATAATATCAAAATATTCTGGTGCAAATATTTTATCCATTATATTGTTCGATAACTTTGAAATAGTTGTGGTAATTCAGTAATTGTTTCAAAGTTGCAGTAGGTGTAAATTTATGCGTACATTCATATGTACGCTTTTTTTTAAGCGTAACTCGTTTATAGTTTTAATTATTTGGTTACAGTATGCATGTGGGCGAATTTTAATTCCATTTAGATTGGACTGAAATAGAAATACGTAGCACAAAATTAAGGTTTTATTAATTTCGATGTGGCAAACATTTTTAATTATAAAAAAAAAACGAATAATCAAGTTAATGTAAAAAAACCATTGCACGATACTGTTTCTAAAGCACATTACGAGACTACTGATATTACCCGTTACTTTAACCAATCAAAATCGCAAAATTTTTATTAATCAGAAAATCACAAGTAATTAAACTTAATTATGTAAAATAAGCACCTCTCTTTTACATGTAATGCAGGGCACGATTATTATAAAGTGGGCTAAATTTGAAATGTGTGAGCCAAGAGTGCTTATTTTCGAGTTTCCGTCTTTCTACTGCAGCTACGTATGTACGTACGTACAGTGCGTTCCAAACTTATTTGGAGAACATATTTTTTTGGCTGTGATTTTGTGTATCCTTGTGAGTCGCCATTTTATCCAAAATGAAATTGTTTATCCAAGCCTGTTTTTATATGCGGAGATTTAAGAACTGTTACCCAGTGATATCTTTATCAAACTTATCACTTTCACGTGACAGTGTTGCGGGCGAACAAAAAATCTTTAGTTTGTTTAAGCTAGGGTTAATGCTTACGATAGCGTTAAACATTAGCTGGTTATATAGTAAAATTGCCAAATAATTTGTTTTGTTAGAGCGTAAAAAATGATTTCTTTTACGAACGATTTGTTTTGATTTTCCTAGTCGTGTAACGTTACATCAAGGAGCCACTGTAGATCCCACGTGAAAGTGAATTTTTTGACGGCGGTGCAAAATTTTCATTTTTGATAAACCTGCATCTACTTTTTTGATATTTGAGATATGATGAACTTGAAGCATTCGTTTCTTGGGCTTTTCGTAAAAGTTGTAGAAAAGTAAATTACAATTCTAATAGTAGTAAAATCATCAGAAATATGAGTAAAAATAGATTTACGATTCTTCAAACTTACTTAAAATTTTTTAAAAAATATTTAGTAAATTATAAAACTTTTTACTTATCTCAAGTCAATCTTGGTGAATTTATTAATATTGAATCACTATTTTCTTTTTTAAATAAGGTTAATATAATAGAAAAATTAGTTTTAATTATGATTTTTTATAATTTTTTTTAGAATTTTACAAGTTATTTGTCAATTTTAAGTGTAAAAATATGTAACTATTTAAAATCATTATATTTGTTTATATTTCAAAAAATAAAGATATATTTAAGTATATCAAAAAAGTAAATGCAGGCATATTAAAAATAAAAGTTTTTAATAATAAACCTAAAGTAGTTTTTTATAATAATTGCACTATATCATTAAATACTTAGTTTAATTAGAATAAGTATTGAAATATATAGTATAGTTTAGAGTAATTTGTTAGGCTTGTAAACAAATATTATTATTATATAATTTATACACTCTATTTTTACAATTATATCTATAAACTCACTTAAAGAGCATATTCAATAATGCTTCAAAGCTGCTTTTTTTATTTTCATACTTGTACAGTTGAAAACTGCAATATATTTTCAACTAATATAAAACATAATGTTAAAAATCTTTCTACCACCTACTTTAATAATTCATTCAAATATTTTCTGCTCCAACAACTTATTATTCTAAAACAAAATATTTATATCTAACTTTATACTTCTCTATTTTAATAAAAACTAAAAATATATAACATTTTCTAAACTCACATCAATAACATTACTATGCAAACTAGTTACTAATATCAAGCAAGAATTTTTAAACCTAAACAAATTCAAAAAAATACTAATAAGATATAACTTAGCTATTACTTCTATGATTATTTTAATGCTTATCTAGAATCTTCTGCTATTAATGATTAAATTACCAACATACCAAACAATAAGCAATCAACAAAATCACCTCCAAACCTATAGATACAGATACTCTAACTTGCATAATTACATATTTTTATATTTTTACACTATACAAACCATTAATCCAAAATATTAGATAAGTCTATATTAAACAATTCTATCCTGAGGCAAAAAAATTCTGTTTTCTAAATTTAAAATTTACTTTAATATACCATCAACCAAAATTACTTTCATTAACCCAAATTAAACTAAACATTCTACAGAAAGCAACTAATTTCTACTATATTCAACTTCAGTAATTCAAACACCATCTATTCAAATAACTGCTATTAATAGATAATGATATAATTATATTAGAATCTTTTAACAACTCTGATCTTAAATTTAAGATTAACTAAAAATCTATACTTTATATAACTATACTATTATATAATTCTTTTCAATAATATCTTCTATAAACTACATAAATGCAGCTACTGCCTTTAAAATAATGATATTCTCCACATCTTACATCTATTTTTAGAGAAGAATAATATAAGTGGATGGGTAGTTAAGTCTATTTATATGGAGAACCAAAATAACAACAGTCAGACCAAATATAAATAGCAAATTATAAAACTTTTTGCAGCTATGAAAACTGATCTTAAAATAACAAGTAACTCTGTAAAAGTTTATTTGTCAAAATTATTATCAATATCCTTTTGTTCTACCCGCTGTGAGACCGACACTTTTAAAATCGTAAACCAGCTATAATTGAAGTCACCAAATGCACACGGTCTAGTGTTCTGACCCAGGTAAGTGTCACCCGGGTCACCCGTAGGGGCTTTACTTATTTGTGCCAGTAATACAAACTCTTAAAAAGGAAATATCCAATCAGTGAGTTCAAATTTGGATCGTTCCGGATCAGCCCGACATGAATTCCGAACATGTGCGAAAGAAGAAAAGGAAAAATACTCAAAAAATAGTGTTTAAATCGGCCTTGATATACTAATTAAAATGTCGGGAACGAAATTTTACATATAATGGGCAATAGTTTATAGAGATAGCTTTTAATGTTAACGCTCTAACCCTAAATTTGTGGTTTACGCACTTTGTTTATTTACAAAATCAAATTTCCTTTTTTGCGTTATATTACTGACACAAATAAGTAAATCCACCCGTAGGTGGGAGGGTGACCCGGGTTGAGGCATGACAACCCGGGTGGTCAACTCGCAGGTCACCCGTGGTCAACCCACGGGTCACCCGCCGGAAGAATTTCTGAATGTTACCTATTCATTGACTTTTCTTCACAAATCACTGTGAGCATTATAGAACATCCGAACAAAATGTAATATCGGAAGATACAAAATCCAAAAAGTTTTATATTATGACAATCCAAATTATGAATACGTGACCATACCAGGGACGGAGCAATATTGAAAATTTCACGAAGTGTATAGATATGTCGCAAGTTAAGTGGTATATGTTTGCAAAATCTTGCGTGATATATGTGGACAAGCATGGATGTGAATGCATATTAGGAACTTCATACGTATCACATATATAGTACTTTCTTCTGTGCACAGGAATTTTTGCGCATAATTTGATCCACATATCGATATATTTATCGCTTTTCTCATGGACTGTTTCACAATTAGGTTTTAAAATTCTTAGGTTCTTGTATTCAAAGCAAAATTATACATAAGTGCAACTATAAATGTTGTTACAAATAACAGTAAAAATATGATTTTCAGACATAAATATTAGTTACCTATTCAAATTTGCATATCTATTCAGGGTTTATGTCAAAATTCCGAAAGCGAAATTTAATTGTCACGTCGTATGGTCGGAGTTCCAACATTCAAACACCACTTTTAATTATTAATCAAAAACGGAGTTTGAATGTTGGAATTCCGATACCACGCGGCGTGACAATTAATTTTCGCTTTCGGAATCTATTCACAGGATCTTTAGCAATTTTCATTTTTTTTGTAAGATTTTTTACTGAGTTGATAATCACTGATCACCAAAGATGAGATTCCTTACATGCAGGATTATACGTTT